AGGATAATACAGTAGAATAGAAAATGACTGTCTCTCTGAACGTGTCATTTCAGCTTTGAAGCTTATTTTGTCATTTTCAAAATGGAAACAAGAACAGCCTCGCCTAATGCACAGGTTTGCAGTTAGGTTCAGATACACACATATTTTACGTTCTTAATAGAAAGAATTTGGGAAAGACACTAAAAAGAATAATTGTTGTGATTATAATTCAGCCAAACTCTCACTTACATGTGAATTCCAAAAATGTCAAACTCATAGAAACAAAGAGTAAAATGTTGGTGGTTAGAGGCAGGGACAGGGTAGGGGAAGCAGTTAGAGAAATGTTGGTCCCAGGACACAAAATTTCAGTTAGGAAGAGCAGATTCAAGAGCTTTCGTGAAACATGGTGCTATAGTCAACAACAATGTATTGCGTACTTGAAAATTGATGAGTGCAGATTTTGAGAGCTCTCACTACAAAAAAAAAAAGTGTGTGAGGTAACGCATATATTAAATAAACTATTTTAGCCATTTCAAAATGTACACATATATCAAAACTTCATTTGTATAACACAAATGCATAAAATTTCTACCTGTTAATTTAAATAAATAAGTAATTCAGCCAAACTCAATTATCTCACTCACAGACTAACATAACAACTCCTAAAGTGCCCCTGCCACTAGCTTTTTTCTCCCCAATCCACCTTACCCTGCATCAAGATACATCTTTCTAAAATGCTGTTTTCATTTAGATGACTCCCTTGCCGAAAAATTAAAATTCTTATCAAGAATTCAAGTCCACTAGAACATGTCCTCAGCCTCTTTTTCTAACCCTTCTCTGTTTAGTTCTTCCCAAATGCACCCTCTGTAGTGAGCTGAATAATGACCCCCAAAGATATCAGGTCCTGGTCTCTGGAATCTGTCGATGCTACTTTATATGGCAAAGGCTTTGTAGATGTTATTAACTTAAGAATCTGGAGATGGGAAGATTATCCCAGATTGTCAGGGTGAGCCCTAATGTCATCACATGTATCCTTCTCAGAGAGCATGAGAGGGAGATCAGACAGGAGTGTGACCACGGAGGCAGAGATTGGAGTGAAGTGGCCACAAGCCAACAAATGCCTGGAGCCAACAGGAGCCAGAGGAGGCATGGAACAGATTTGCCTCCAGAGCCTTGGGAAGGAGCAGCTTGACTTCATCCCAGTGATACTGATTTCAGACTCTGGGCTCCAGAACTGTGACAGAACAAATTCATGTTATTTTTAAGCCATCTAATGTGTGGCAATTTGTAACAGCAGCCACAGGAAACAACTGTATTCTCCACTCATTTTGTATAAAGCCACACTCATTCCTGAGTACCAGTTGTTCTTGCTATTATCTAGGAGAGCTCAGGCCCTAAAAATGCCTGCTTGTTCTTCAGAGATAGCTAATCATGTTCTTCATGTGAAAGAGGACAAGCTTTCTTTTCTCCCTTTCTTTTTCTTTTTCCTCCCAAGAATAGTTTTCTAAAACTGGACTGGGTTCTGGAAACAAGTTGCAGGATTTCTTTCCCTGCCAGCCCATAAGTCGGAAAGTGATAAAGTCCAGTAAGTGAAACAGGAAGCTTATCTCCTTTTAGGAACATATTATGACACCTCGATACAGACCTTTCATCTCAGCATTCCTCAAAGTGCATCCAGAAGAAAAAGAATGTCACAAAGAAGAGGGATTCCTTAGCCAAATAATTTGCAAAAGTTGCTGTATCTTTTCCACCCTGTGTCAATTCACACATGCATTCCCATATGATAGCATCTTAGTAGAGCTGTATAGCAAAAGACCTGTTTAACACTGCTCTATCCAGCGTTTCTGAAACTTAGTTGGCTGTGGATGTTCTTCATGTGAAACCTTTTTTTCTTACATATTACTGAAACCTTACAGTTCATGTGGGTTGCAGTGAATTTAGGAACATAGACATCAACCATTCTGATACTTATCCACTCATCCTTTTTATCATCGACACCCAATCTAATCCCAATAGACCTTAGGAAGCTGCTAATAAAAGCTTCTGGTATAACAGAATAATTAAAGCAAGGCTAGAGGAAAAGAGCGTGGAGTGAAAAATTAGAGGATGTATGAGTCAATGGAAGAAATAAGACAGAGGGGAAAAAAACAACTAATTGTGTCCAAAAAAACCTGAGTAAAAGATCGCTGGTCCCCCCCAAAAAACCCAATAAATATAGCCGAGTTTATTGACCACTGAGGCCAAAAGGGAAATGGAACTTTCCATCAGTTTTCTCAGGTCAGCCAACACTCTGAGTGTCCACTATGGGTTCTCTGCCATTATTCTCTCTTACATTAATACATTTTATCTAAGAGAAGAAAGTAGACCAGGTCCTCCAACAGCAAACTGTCCAAAGTCACTAAACCATTGAGAGTAATGCCTCCCAAACAGAGGGGCCCCGTCAGTGAACATACTCTCCATGTGGCCATTTCCTTTACAGATCCTCAATTAACTCACAATTTTTTCTTTTCCTTTTGTCCTGTGAATTAGGATTGCTACATTAGCTTGTGGATTGTGGCTACCAGGTTTGTGCCTTTCATTAATTAGCTTTAGATATTTCCTTTGAGACAAATTCCAACCAGTTTCTCAAATAAATTTCAATTCGTTCTCCTTCAAGGTTAGTAGCAGAATACCTACTTCCAGGTGTTTTCCTATGAATCAATCACAGTTAGGAGGGCTAACTGGTATCTTGGCTTAGCTCTCAGAACTCAAATAAAAATATAAAACAATTCTTGAGGTCATCCTGCCTTGAAATTTGGAGGTTTCCCTCCAGAGGGCAATTCTAGCTTCCTCATTAATTGAAGATTCATTTGCTTTGGAACGCCATTAGGGATGTTAATGATCAAGGGCATTAAATAATGAATAACAGAAACACTGTCAAGTCTTTGTAACATCTATGCTATAAAACTGCTCAAACTTCTTGTGAGAAATTTTTCCCAGAAACAACTAATGAAGTAAATAAACCAAGAAGTCACAGAGACTTAGTTAACAAAAATGAATATTTTATAGGAGTAAACTCTTTTCTGCCACTTGAAGTTTAGACTTAAAAAGATCAAATATACTGCAGAAACATACCAGGCAGCCACAGGAATCCTGGAATTTGGGGTGGGAAAAGGGATCTGTCTGCCAGCATGATGAATTCTTCCTAAAAAATAACGGAAAGAATCGGAATGATCTTTCAGATCACAAAGCTATTGTATTTCTATAAAAGAGAGTTCTATCAGACTAGAACATAGTTCACAGGATAATCACCTCCTACCGCCACGAAGGCTGAGGTCTTACATTTGTTTTCACAGCTTGAGCTGTTAATCTGATGACAATGTTTTATTATAATGACAGTATTTCCATCATATTACATGATGCTCACTGGCTCACTCTAGTAAATGTCCTGCCAGGGATCCCTGGAACTTGCAGGGAGGTGGGAGGCTGGGCTTGTGGTGAATTCTGACTCTCCCAATCTCGTAACCAGGTACCAAGAAGGAATGAATAAACACAGCAAGCTGCTAATTCCTTTTTGTGGCATCACATAATAATTTAATAACCATTTGAAGAAAGAAATATTAAATACCATTTTGAAGAAAGGTTGTATAACACAGTTATGAAAACTACTTGCAGCAGTGGTTTAAAAACCTTTTGTATTCCAGTTTCCTTAGTTTTTTTTTTACTTGTATATCCTGTACTTTAATATTTTTTTAGTAAGCTCTTTGCTTGCTAGCAAAATTTGCTTTAGTAATAATAACTATTCTGAATTACTCAATAATTGGAAAAAAGGGAAGAAATTAACATTTACTGCATTACATTATAGATACCAACTAGATATTTTTACCACTGTTCTTACTAGTCCTGTTTTTTAGAAGAGTGTAGGTGGAGGTCCTAAGAGGTCAAACAGCTGCCCAGAGATCACACTGAGGAAGGAAGGGTCTGCGAGGTCCCAGCAGGAGCCTGCCCTTGCCTGTACGGGACGGCCAGCATTACAACACTAAGTTAAAAACACTGCAGTCCTGTGAAAAGAAACTTGCCATCTCTATTAACCAGGTGAGCAAAGTATAACTTCCAGGTAACTTCTGAAACATCGAAAGTAATTTAAAGACTTCCTCAGTGCTACTCTCTTGGCTGACTGCGTTCTGGGAACTCAGTGTGAGACTTAAAAGTTCACTTGGAAGTAATATTCAAAGAAGTTGTGAATTTAATCTGAGTATTGTATCTGATAATTACTTTTTGAAAAAATCACTCAGTTTATGCTTAAACACAGCAGGCCCTCCTTGCTTCAGATTCATGCCTTAGATGAAAGTTAGCAAATGTTTATAACTTAATAAATTACTTCGAAAACTTAGTCTTCTTTTTCTTTTCAAAATCCTTCACCATTCTTGTGCTAGTTCCCTTTTATAGAGAAAACACGTGACCACTAGAGCTGCATAATGAACCACGACAGTATTTAGCAGATTTTAGTTTTTCAAGCATCTCTCAGCCTTCAACAATTTTTGTGTTCAAACAAAAGAATCACCATGAAGCTGCATGAACATTTATAAAGGGACAGAGGGGTGATGTGTTAAGAAGCAGATGTTTCTATGTACATTTCTTTCTAGATTTTCGGAATTGAAAAACACACTTTCACTTGGCAAAGCTTTTCTCTAACATGTTCTGTAGGATACCATTGCAGCTATGCTGTTCCAGAATAAATGTCTTGAACATGGTCACTTGGTCCTCAAGATTTTCAAATGCTGGATTAAATAGGTCTCTTTGCTGCAGGCAGGGAATAATCTAATATGCATTTTAAATACAGAAGAGAGAGGCAGACTCTCTGAGGACTAAATGTCTTGACAGTACCTTTCTGAGACAGGAACTTGCCTCAAGGGAAAAAAGCTCTCCTCTGTCTGAGGTTAGCAGTGTTCTTTCTACAGGACTGGGGGCCCATAGTTGCAAACAGAGGCAGTGAGTTGCCAAGGTCACACAGCTAATCTGTGGTGCAGCTGGGCTTTGGCCTGAGGTAGCCTGGTCCCAGATGTGTGTTCTCCACCCTATACCAAATGCCTGATACATGTACTCTATATTTTTGACCCTTGACCTCAACTTTCTCCTTTCTAGGCCCCTCAGGGGAACCTCTCACCAGCCATGCCAAGCTCCAAGGACCCCACCTCCTGAGTGTTCACCAGGCCAATGAGCCTTCAAGATTTTCCTGAGCACCAGAAATATTAGACCACCAAGATGATTCATCATAAGGCTTCAATCTAATCATGGTAACAGTTTTCTTAAAAATAAGAAAATAAGCCTAACACATCTCCTACTTGGGTTTTTTAACATTTTTGCTCTGTATTAAAACATTAACAAGAATGGATGGGAAAAGTGACCATTTTGCTTCAGAAACACAGTAGTAGGGAAATACATCACTGGAGTCACAAATATGAGCCTTATAAAATGAGACTAATATGTAAATCTACTAGTGGGCTTGTAAAAGTTAGAAACTTTAGCATATTTAAAAATTTAAATTATGCATCATCTCCTATTATGACAAAACTTATATTTTAGGTTACACTTATACCACAATAGATTTTTCTGGAGCTCTTTACTGTCCTCTGTACGAGAGATAGGAGTCAGAAGTTCAACATGACACCCTAGAGTATGACACTCATTATCTCAACAGAAAAACAACCTAGAAGCAAAAGCTTATCTATTATTCCAAATCGTTTCCTCTAGTTAATAATGAAGTGATTGCTAGAGACTTCCAGGAAGATGGCAGAATAGAGGTGTCCAAGGCACATTCCTTCTGTAGAAGAAGATCGAAACGGGCTCACTGCCACCAACACTACAGTCGCCAGAGCCACTGTCCAGTCCCAGATCTGTCGCTCACCACGGAGCAGCTCCTTGCAGAGCAGCAGTCCTGCAGGTTGCCCATCACTGTGGCCATGGACTCCACAGATATGAGAGAGGAGGCTGCAACTACCACTGTCACTGCTGCCACTGCAAGATAACCCCACCAAGGACACTGCAGATGTGAGGAAGGTAGTTGTAGCCACTGATGCCGCTGCTGTCTCCATGAGGAAACTCTGCTGCTGCTGCAGACACTGCAGACATGATGGAGGCTACTGCAGGTAATGAAAGCCATTGTAGCCACCCACACCACTGCCGCCCCCATGAGGTAACCCCATTGCCACTGCAGACACTGAAGATGTGAGGGAGGAAGCTGCAGACCCCAGAACCACTACAGACACAGCTGCTGCATGGGCCACTACTGTGCACACTGCAGACAAGAGGGTGGCTGCTGCAACCATCACTGCTGCAGTCACCACCACCACCAGCACTGCCAGGTAGCCAATGTTGTCAGGCAAGCAGCCTGCCATTGCTAGAGCCACTGCTGCCACCCAGGCAGCCCACCAAAGCCACTGCCACAAGCCAGCACTGCAAGAAGGGTGGACTGCTATCACAGCAGCAGCCACATGAGCCAGAGCCACTGAGCAGGCAGACCACTGACCACTCAACTGCATTAGCACAAGGAGGGTTACCAAGAGAGTCCAGGAAAGGGGAGTAATAGAAGAAGCAATTGCTCTACCAGATGACAGACATCAACATAGAGATACTAGAAATAAAAGAAAAAAAGAAAGAAAATATGACATCATGAAAGGAATACAGTAACTCTCAAGTACTAGATCCCATAGAACAGGAAATGCTTAAAATTACTGAAAAGGAATTCTGAGTAACAATTTTAAGGAAACTCAATGTGATACTACAAGAAGACACAGTTAGACAACACAATGAACTGAGCAAAATTCTCCAGGATATGAAGGAGAAAATTTACAAAGAGATTAATAGCATAAAGAAGAATGTAGAAGGACTCCTAAAATTGAAGGAGTCATTCAACCAAACAAAAACACAACTGAGAGCTTAAGTAGCAGGCTATACCAAGCAGAAGAAAGAATTTCTGATCTTGAAGAAAGTCTCTTTGAAGCTACTCACATGGACAAAAAGAAAAGACAAAATAATTAAGAAAAATTAAGAACATCTAGGCAAGACAGCAGACAACCTTAAGTGCACAAACATCTGTATCACTGGTGTTCCTGAAAGGGAGGAGAAAGGAAATGGTATTGAGAACATATTCAAAAAAATAATAGTGGAAAATTTCCTAGGTATAGAGAATGAAACAGACTGTCAGATTCATGAGGCTAAAAGATTCCAAAATAGTTCAATACAAAAAGCTTCTCTCTAAGAGATGATATATTCAAAATACTTAAAGAAATATACTGCTAGCTAGGAATACTATAACCATAAGGCTATCTCTCATAAATGAATGAGAAATATTGTATTTTAGAGACAAACAAAAACTGCAAGAGTTCACCACCACATGACCAGCTCTACAAGAAATCCTCAAGGATGCCCTATGTCTGGAATCCAAGAAAAGATAATCACAAAGTACAAAACCTAATGGTAGAACAAAAATGCAAATGAGAAAGAGAATGAAACTGTATCTTACCACCTCCAAAACCCAACAAACACTGAAGACAAACAATACAAGGGAAAAAAAGAAACAAAAGATATTTAAAACATACAAATGAAAATCAATAAAATGCCAGGAGAAAGATAATTCCTTTCAGTAACAATCCTAAATAAAAATTGATTAAATTTCCCAGTCAAAAGACACAGACTGGCTGACTGGATTAAAAAGCTAGATACAACTATATGCTGTCTACAAGAGATTCACCTCACCAGTAAAGACACACACAGACTAAGAATGAAGTGACAGAAAAAGATATACCATGCAAACGGAAATCAAATATGGGAGTGGCTATTGTCACATCAGATAAAATAGACTTTAAACCAAAACCTATAAAAAGAGACAAAGAAGGCCACTATATAAAGATAAAGGGATTTATCCAGCAAGAAGACATAACAATCATAAATATATATGCACCCAACATCAGAGCACCCAGATATATAAAGTAAATGCTATTGGACCAAAAGAAAGAGATAGACACAAATATGATAATAGCTTGGGACCCGAATGCCCATCTCTTGATATTGGATACAGCATATAGGCAACAAATCATCAGAAAAAATGCATTATTTAAACACACTCTAGACCAGTTGTACTTGGAAGACATCTACAGAACATTTCATCCAACAATCACAGAATATACATTCTTCTCATTTGCA